AAATAAACCTGCTTATTACTTCTGTAACATGTTTAAAAATATATATTATCAGTAAAAATCCTCAACTCGTGTCCTGTTTCTACAAATTGTCTTTGTAACACTTCAGAAGAACTCTTAACTCTTGTAGATATAAAAGACAACAACTATCCAAAAAAAACCCTCCTTTCAATCACTGAAAATAATTTATTTACCACATTGTAAATCTGGGCCCTAAAGGGTTAATGCTACTGAGACTGTCTGTGTGCTGCGGCTGGATGATGACACGCACACACACACACACACACACACACACACACACACACACACACACACACACACACACACACACACACACACCTGCTTATTCTGTCTGGATATTTGGTGTTTTGAGTTCACAAACTACTCTGGTTACTTTTTTAAAAGTTACACTACATTAGCTCGTAGCTGTGCTGCTGATCAGCGCTAACAGACATGGAGCCGCTGACTCCCGATCACACAGGGTCTGTGTTGGTGCTTCTTGCTGTATCTGAGTAATTATTGATAAGATAAACATGCTGTAGCTTCACCTGTCGTGACTTCCTTGAAAGAAAAAAAGGTAACTTGCAAAGCTGTCGCATCAGACAGTTTTCATCACGTCACATCACACACACATGCCTTGCTATCTTTGCAAGGACTACACACAGCACTAACAGCCTCGCTCTGTGCACAAGAACCAGCAGTGTTGGTTTTTCAAAATAAAGTATATCTTAACTTTTCATTGATGTTTAAATAGGGTTTCAAAGTCTGATTATGGTTAGTAAAAGTGCACAAATATAGGATATAAATATGCTTTACACTGTTTAAGCCTAATATAGGCCTATTTAAAAAAAAAAAACTTTATTCTGAAAGTGTGGCAGCTATGTTTTTTGCCGTGGCGGTGTGCCACGATCAATTACATGTRGGGGAAACCCTGCCCATCTTTCCCAGTAATAATCAAATGGTACCACTTTACACTAAGGCTCCCCTCATATAAACACTTTATAAATCATTAATAAGTGTTTATTAATGTATTATATATTGGGAAAACCTGTGATGTGTGATAACAGTGCTTAAACAATATGACTTGTGATGAACAAATACAGAAGTATGTAGTGTTGATGTCTTTCTGTTCTGGGTTCTGATTAAAAATAAAAAAAATAAATAAAAAAAATCATTTCCATTCCAGTGATCTATCAGTTGGTCAAATACACAAAAGGGCTCCATTTGATTGGTGAAATACTTCAAGCTGAGTGACAATAAATGCAAACTTCTGACTTTGGAGTATAAAACAAAAAGTGAATAACCAACCATTTTTCATTTTATCATATCAGTTTTTAAAATAAACAAATGAGCACACAGCACCGGGAGCGAGCAGCTACATGTCAGAGTTYAGTGTTTGTGGGACAGGATGTTAAAGACATCAAGGTAAAACTAAAAACCTTTAAGTACATCTTACTGACCTTCACTAACAAAGATGTGACATGTAGTTATTAAACTGGAGCAAAACTAAAGTTCAGACTTCAGCTGTGAGATCTGACAAAATCATTTCTTTGTCTTTACTTTAAAAAGGCACTGTTTGGTTAAATCTCCTCTCTCAGGCCTCGAGGGCAGCTCTCACATCTTCATTCTTATCTCAGCAGTGGGATAGGCTGGGTTTTTAACTTTCAAACTTTAGATTAGAATTAAATCAACTATCCTGCATCCTGGATTTAACAGTTTTATCTACATTTTACAAACTGTGTGTTTGATTTAAAATATTTATTCTTTCTGATTTTGTCATAAAATCGTACATAYTCCTCCACTGTAATGTTATAATAATAATGAAGCAGCATAATGTGACACTCTTTTTTTCTTTAGTGWTTTAACATAAGTTGTTGCTGATGAAGCTTTCTACACTTACTATGAAAGAGTATTTAAAGACTGTAGAAGGAAAAACTAATTTTGTGGCTTGTCCTGTCCCTGCATCGATGCTAACTGCTAACCATCACATACATCTAACAACAGAATAGGGCTGCAACTAACAATTATTTTAATAATCGATTCATCTGTTGATTATTTTTCGATTAATCGAATAATTGGCCAAATCATTAAAACGCTTAATTACATGAATATGAGTAGATATAAAATAAGTTAACTCCTTAAGGATGCAAATTTATCTTATAGGTTTATTAACA